CGGGCCCCTGGGCTGCAGCCGTGAGTAAAGGATCTGCGCCGGGCGGGAACCCCTCCTGTCTGTCTGTCCTTCCAGCCGTCAGAGCCCTGTGCACTTGCCTGCTGTTCATCTGGCCGTGCGTGTGTCCATCTCACTCCTGCCGTCCTGCAGCCCGTGGGTTGGGTCGCAGTTCCCCTCTGTCCATCTGTGTGTCCATCTATCCATCCATCTGAGCCCCACACTTCTGCCTGGGATGGGTGCTGCCCTGTCTTGCACTCACCCATCTGTTCATCTCCCTGTCCGTGCTTCCACATCAGCCTTCCCGTGCCATAGTTCATGGACTGGTCATGCCCTGGGTGCTGGTGTCTGTCTGTCTGTCTGTCCACCCCTGCCCCACGCCTCTGACCCAAGCTGTGCCATCCTGCAGCCTGTGCCTGCTCACCGGAGGGCTCAGTGTCACAGCTGTGTGACATAGTGAGTGGGCAGTGCCGGTGCCAGCCTGGTGCTGTGGGCCGGCAGTGTGACCAGTGCCAGCCCGGCTACTGGGGCTTCCCTGCCTGCCGGCCCTGCCAGTGCAACGGGCACGCCGAGGACTGCGACCCCCGGACCGGCAGCTGCCTGCACTGCCGCGACCACACTGACGGGCGGCACTGCGAGAGGTGAGCAGAGGGGAGGGGACAGCACGGCGTGGGGCGGGGCGGATGAGGTGAGGTAGGATGGAATGGGATGAGTTGAGGTTGGGTTATGAGATGGGATGGGATAGGATGGGATATGATAGTATGGAATATGATGGGATATGCTGGAGTGAGATTGGATGGGATAGTGGGATGGGATATAATGAGATGGATGAGATAAGATGATGGCATGGCATGGATGAGAGGGGATGGTGGGATGTGATGTGATGGGATATGGTGAGATGGATGAGATAGCAGATGATGGCATGGCAAGGCATAGCATAGATGCAATGGGATGGGTGGGATGGGATAGACCACTGGGGCACCCATCTCTTGTCCTCGCAGGTGCCAGGATGGGTACTATGGGGACCCAGTGCTGGGCTCGGGGCAGCAGTGCCGGCCCTGCCCCTGCCCTGGCTACCCCGGCACACAGCACTACCATGGGAGCGCTTGCCATGCTGACGAGGAGACCCACCACATTGTCTGCCTCTGTGCACCTGGATATGCTGGTGAGGTGCAGGGTGGGCGATGGAGCATCAGGGATCTCCAGCCCTGGGGCTGTGGGACCCCTGGCAAACACAGCCCCACTCCCCACAGGGCCCCGCTGCGACCGCTGCTCCCCTGGCTACTTTGGTGCGCCGGAGGTGGAGGGGG